GAGGCTGCGGTGGCCGGGAGCGGCCGCGGCACTCCAGTCTGGGCGACAGAGTGAGACTCCCACTCAAAAAAAAAAATGCATGGTCACCTATGGGAGTCGACAAGTTTTACACCAAGTTCAGTAAATCAGATCCACATACAGCCCATCTCCCTCCCACTCTGCTGGGGCACGCTGGTGTTTTCCCTGATGGTCGACTGCTCTCTGCTGTGCCACTTTCACTTGTATTTATTACTGTTGTTATTACTGAGACAAGGTCTCACTCACTGCATCCTCCGTCTCCTTCTGTCTCAGTCTCCCAAGAAGCTGGGACGAGAGGTGTGTGCCGCCACGCCTGGCTAAATTTTTGTAACTTTTGTAGACACGGGGTTGCTATGTTGCCTGGGCTCATCTTGAACTCCTAGGCGCAAGCGATCCTCCCGCCTCAGCCTCCCAAGGTGCTGGGACTACAGGCGTGAACCACCCCACCGGCCTTCTTTCATTGTTCGACGCCGTCTGGACTCAGGACGCAGGTCTCCACCCCCGCTGCCTCCCACAGCCTGGACTTGGCTATTCCCCTCGCGGTGCTCTGGGTCACCGTCAGGTGCAGGGAACGCCTTCCACACCCGTCCCTTCTGCCTACCCGGCGGGAGCCGCCCCTGTGATGACCCCGGGCGCGGGCTGGCGGCGGTTGCTCACCCGCTCCTGCTGCACCACGAACAGGACGTCCTCCCCGGGCCGCACGGCCACCGCGTCGCCATGGATGCTGACCCGCAGGCCCCGGGGCGGCATGAGAGGGCACTGCAGCCGCGCCGGGCTCTGCTGCAGGTCCACGCCGCCCTCGCACACGTTGGACACCACCTTCCGGTACCTGAGTGGGCGAGAGGGGTAAGGTGGCCTCAGACAGCGGCAGGGGCAGGGTCCCCGCCTCATCCCCAGAGGCGGCTCTTGGCTTCCGAGAGGTCCACGCAAACCTCCGTCCTCCCCCCAGCTCCACCCGATTGCTGTTCCTGCCCCATTCTGGCAATGAGAAAGCGGAGGCCCCGGGGGGCAGTGGCTGGTGGTGGCAGGACCGGCTTCAGAGGTGGGGACCGCTCCTTGGTCTGATCAGGCCACTCGTGACAATCATAACGATCATAGGCTGGGCTCGGTGGCTCAGCCGGTCATCCCAGCACTTTGGGAGGCCGAGGCGAGTGGATTGCCTGAGCCCGCGGGTTTGAGACCCGCCCCGGCAACTTGGCGAGACCTCGTCTCTACAATAAATCAAAAATTAGTCGGGCATGGTGGCGCACGCCTGTAGTTCCGGCTCCTTGGAAGGCTGAGGCGGAAGGATCGCCGGAGCCCGGCAGGTCGAGGCTGCGGTGGCCGGGAGCGGCTGCTGCACTCCAGCCTGGGCGACGGAGTGAGACTTCAACTAAAAAAAAAAAAAATGATAATAATAACAACAGCTGCTGTAATTGCCACAGAGAGACTTTAAGCAGCCAGCCTGTGTCACGGTCGTGCTGAGAAGCGGGAGGACGCAGTGCCCAGGAGGCCTGGGGTCCAGTCTCAGCCATGGCCCCTGCCCGTGTGGAGCAGACCCCCTCAGACCGCACCCGTGTGAAGTCACAGTCATGACTGGCTGGGCACTCCTGGGCATCTGGTCCCAGAGAAGTTGCTCTCAGCTGAGACTGGGTGAGCAGGAGAAGGAGGCGCCGCCCAGGCCGGGGGGACAGCATGTGCAAAGGCCCTGTGGTGGGTGCTGAGTCTGGACAGAGAGCAGAGGTAGCGGGAGGCTAGAGAGGGACCGGGACAGAGCTCGGTGGACCCTGGGAAACCTTTAAGAGCCTGCTGAAAGCTACTGCATAGGCAGCCTCGTGCAATGTGCCACTTGCAAAACTCCGTGCTACATTGAGATGCTGGGTCAGTGAGACCAGCACTGCTGCCAGAGGGTGTGGGAGAGCCCATCTCCCCAGGCTGGTCCCCTCCTCCATTTGGACGTCGGTCTTGAGAAGACCCATCGGATTAGTGGTTTGAAAGAAGTGCACTTCTCTGAATTGCCCACCCACAGCCCCTCCGGCATGCAGGAGGCACGAGCTGAAATCCTTTGCCCTGATCCAGTCCTGGTCTGATTCTTCAGACAAGAGTCCCTGCCTGTCAAGCCCCGTAGGGGTGCAGGAGAGGCCACTACAGCTGCCTGGTACTTGGATGGTGGGTGGGTGATGGATGGCGGATGGATAGATGGAGGGTGGGTGGGTGGATGGATGGATGGGTGGATAGGTAAACACGTGGGTGGACGGAGGGAGAGATGAAGAGATGAAGAGATGGATGGATGGGTGGGTGGGTGGACAGACAAATGCGCGAACGGATGGGCGGGTAAATATATAGATGAATAAATAAATAAGCAAACGGATAGACAAATGCGTGGTAAGGTGGACGGATGGATGGATAGGAGATATATGGGGAACGAATGAATGGATCGATAGGAGAATGGATGGATGGTAAAGGGACGGTCGGTGGACGGATGGATGGTGGGTGAACGAGTGGATGGATGGACGGATGGACGGTTGGGCGGATGCACAAATGGCGGAGGAGTGGCAGATGGACGGACGGGTGGGTGGCCGGGTGGACGGATGACTGGGTGAGTGGATGGATGGGTAGATGGACGGTTGGGCGGATGCATAAATGGTGGATGAGTGGTAGATGGGTGGATGACTGGGTGAGTGGATGGATGGGTGGACGGACGGACGGACAGATGGACGGTTGGGCGGATGCACAAATGGCGGACGGGTGGCAGATGGACGGGCGGGTGGGTGGCTGGGTGGACAGACGGACGGACGGACGGACGGTTGGGCGGATGCACAAATGGCGACGGGTGGCAGATGGACGGGCGGGTGGGTGGACGGACGGTGGATGAGCCGTGGTGAAGCGTGCGCGGGTGAGCGGAGAACGGCAGGCGGGTCTCGGGGGCGGACAGGCGAGGCGGGGAAGGCGGACACGTGCACAGGTGGACGGCGACGGGTGGGCGGCTGGAAGGGCGAGGGGCGGGCCACCAGATGGACGAGGAAGGGCGGGCAGGTGGCCGGACACGTGCTGCTGAGGGCCCTGTCCGGCCTGCTGACTCCGGCCCTGCCTCCTGTCTCCTTGGGTTCCCAGGGGCGGCGATGGGATGTCCTGAAAACCCCTCAGAGAGAAACGGGGAAATCAGGGCTTCAGAGGGCGCAGGATCGGGGCCCCCGGAAGCTGGAGGCTCAGAGCTCTCAGGGACCTCACGTCTGACGAGAAGCGCAACGTGCGTGGCCTCCGCGGAGGACCAGCGTTACAGCCGCTCGCGCCTGCTGACGCCTTGCCCGGGGGGACATCACACGGAGGGACCCCTGCCCGGCGTCGGAGCTCACAGTTCAGCAGGGGGGACGAGCCGGTGGCCATGGCAACAGCCGGGAATCGTGCTGCCGCAGGGGTCGGCTCGGGCAGGGGAGGCTTCCTGGAGGAAGTGCCGCTTAAGCTGAGACCTCCAGGTGCCGTGAGCACCTCCAGCACCCAGTCGAAGGCCTGGCTCGCGACGCCAGGGTAAGCGGGGAGGGTCCGGCCCTGCCGAGACTGCAAAGGACCAAGGGAGAGGGCGCTGCTTCTCGCGGGGGGGGGTCCCTGCAGCAAGCTGAGCCACGGTGCACCTGGGCCTTTTCTGCCCAGTGCGCTGTGTCCAGTGCCCGTTCGAGGCAGCTTCACCGAGGCCGGGCCAGCAGAAGCCGGCGGGTTCCTTGCTGGGAGCTGAGGCCCCGGGTTTCGTGCTCAGGGGTCTGGGACATCCCGGCCTCAGTGTCTCATGCCCTGACGGCTCGGGAGCTGCGGGCCCCGGCCGGGAAGGTCTCGGGGTGACTGAGCTCGCGCCCACTCACCCGAGGCTGCTGGTGTAGGTCTGGCCCAGGGCACAGTCTTCGGGCGGGGACAGCGGGTTAAACCAGAAGTTGGCAGAGCACTTGTCGGCGTCGGACTCTGTGGAGGGGACACGCTCGAACCCGTAGTCGCTGGAAGAGGGAGGAACGGTGGTCACGGGGGTCGGGGGGCACGGGGAGGATCAGAGTCAGCCAGCGGGGGGTAAAGCTGGGGACCTGGGAAGGGGCCCACATGCTGAGGGCCTACTCTGCACCCCGCTGTGGGGGACACGGAGGACCACGGCCTGCCCCAGAGGGGGAGACGGGCCTCAAAACGGACATTGCATTCTGGAGTGACAGGGGATGCAGGGGGATGCTGGGAACTCGGAGGAACCTGGAGGGCTTCCTGGAAGAGGTGAGCAAATCTCAAAGGACGAGCAGAGACAGGCAGGGGAAGGGAGGAGAGAGGCGCTGCGGGTAGGGTCCGGGCCGATCAGCCCCGGGGCAGGCAGGCAAAGGCGGGGTGGGGGAATGTCAGGGAGCGGGATGGGGAGGGGTGAGGCGGGAAGGCAGGCGGCAGGCCGTGTTGTCCCACGGACATGGACAGCCGCAGGAAGCTTTTGAGCAAGCGGGGGAAAGGTCAGGGGCCAGCAGGTCCCTGGAGCGAGGAGGGGCTGGGTGCCGCTTGGCCAGAAGGCCCAAGCCCGTCCTCATGGTTCCTGCCACCTGTGAGCGGCTCACGCCTATAATCGTGGTGGCTCACGCCTGTAATCCCAGCACTTTGGGAGGCAGGGGAGGAGGATCACTTGAGGCTAGGCGTTTGAGAACAGCCTGGGCAACATAGCAAGACCCCATCTCTCTAAAAAAAAATCTGCCCACAAACTCCTTGACGCTCCTTCCTGGGAGTGGGCTGGACTTGGCGACTGGGTCAGAATAAGGGGTGGGGGTGGGGGGTGACTCCGAGGCCGGGTTAGGGAAGGTGCTGCGGTCCCTCTCTCGCTGGGGACGCCGGCGCCCTGCTGGAAGGAGGCCCAAGCAGGAGGCCCATGGGAGCCCACGGGGGAGGCGCTCACCACAAGAAGTCCGAGTCCCGGCACGCGCACACGCGGGACGTGAGCGGCGACGTGAAGCTCTTCCCCTTGACGCACCAGGACGTGGGCTTTCTCTTCCGGAAGCTTCTCTGCTGGCCCATGATGCAGCGGTCGCCCTGCCGTGGGAGCGTCAGGGGAGGAGCGGCCCCGAGGGGCTCAGCCCACCCCGGCCGGCGCTGCTGGCCTCCCTGGCCCCTGAAACCGCTGCCTGCTCAGGCGGCACGGGGGCGGGAGGCGTGCCCCTTTTACGGGTGGGGAGACTGAGGCCCAGAAGGGGACGGGGCAGGTTTCAGGTCGAACTGGGCAGCCTCCCTCTCATCTCAATCCGCAAGCATTCATGGAGCACCTGCGGTGTGCAGCCCTGGGGCCACAGAGCTGCCGGAAATGCAGGCCCTTCTGGCCCCCTTTGGGCCCTCTGGGTCCGGTCGGGAGCTACGGCCCAGCCACGGCCTCGTGGGCTCGCGTGCACACAGCAGGTCCTCGTGGGACCATCAGCACGGGCCCCTCCGCTGCCTCCACCAGGTGGTGGTGACAGGTGCAGGCGGGCGAGGGTGCTTGGCC